TGTTCCTCTAAAAAGGCTAAGCGAGCATCTTTTGTTGATACTGTTAGAAGAAATCCTTTCATCTTCTGCTTGGAATGTTCTTTTGCTGGCTTTCCTCCTTTTAAGGTTTCTGCCCAAATGCCTTTATATGAGAGGCCGACCCATACCCTCTTGTCAAATATAGTGCCTACCCCCAACTCTTAAGTCTTTGCTAAGCATAACTTTTCTCTACAGCACTATTGTAGTTACCTATTACTCTATACTAAATTATCCCAGAATTTAGCAGCTTAAAACAACAAACTTGGATTACCTGAATATCTATAAATCAGGAATTTGGGTGGCCGATGTGGTCATGAAGTTTCAGGGAACATGTGGGCCAGAGCTGAAGTCATGTGAAGATTTGGCTGCGGCTGAAGGGTCCCCTTGGAAGATGGCTCATTTACACGTTGCTTTTGCTTCATCACTGAGCGGACTGCTCCACTGGGCTGCATGAGTGTCCTCATGACATGGCAACTAGCTTCCTCCACAGAGAGCAAAGTGGAAGCCGTAATGTCTTTTATGACCTAGCCTTGGAGGTCACACAGTCATTTCCACAGTGTGTTATCATAGGCACGTGCTGCTTATGGATGGGGATAAATTCTGAGAAATATGAGATGTTAGGCGATTTTGTTATGCAAGCATCATAGAGTGCACTTACACAAACCTAGATGGTATAGCCTATGACACACCTAGGCCATATGGTGTAGCCTATGGCTCCCAGGCTACAAGCCTGTACAGCATGTTACTGTACAAAACAACTGAGATTAAATCAAACACAAGAGAAAATGGTGCACTCCAGCAACATGGTAAACACGGGATGTATGAGGCTGCTGCCAGCATAACACCATATAGTGTTTTACATCAAACTTGTTTTTATAATTAGAGAGTACATTCTGAAATAACATAAAAAATATAGTAAATACATAAACCAGTGACATAGTCTTTTATCATCATCAAATATTATTACTATGTACTGTACATAATTGCATGTGCTATACTTTTATATAACTGGCAACACAGGTTTTTCACACCAGCATCACCACAAGTATGTGAGTAATGTGTTGCGATGTCACTAGGCTATTTGAATTCTTCAAGTCTATTATGATTTCATGGGACCACCCTCATCTATGTGGTCCATTGTTGACTGAAATGTCGTTATGCGGTGCATATACTTACAACGGTCAGCTTTATTTAATGTGTGGGGGGGTCTACATAAGGGCATGAATGGGGGTCTTTGGGGGCCATTTGGGGAAATTGGCTACCACTAGCATTTGGTGTTTGTGACTGGTTTCCCAGCTGTAGCCTTGAAAGTCTCGTATCCCAGGAAACCCCTCCATCTGGGGCAAACCAGGATGGTCAGTCACGTTACAGGTTCGTCATGCACATCTGGACTATAAGCTCCGACAGAGAGCAGGGGCGCCTTTCATTGCTATACTAGAACAATGCCAGAGCAGTGCTGACTCCTATTGTTCAGCATTTTGAAATGAATCTTTTGTAGTGCACGAGTTAAGTCTGATGGTGATTTTTATTTCAGGAAGCTTGATTTTGAAGTGATCAAAATCTCGTAAAAATAGTGAAGGCTTCTGGACAGAGACCCACTTTAAGAAATGTAGCTAGTATTAGTCATCAACGGGGTTAAGCAAAACAATGCATATTTTTGAGCTGCTCTAAAAAGCAAAGAGGATGGCTATATGAAGTAAAGAACTTCTGGTTTGACTTTTTCCTATTATCGTTCTTACCTGGTTCTTCCAGCATCTGTTCATTCTTCAGATCATTATTGCCTCCCTGCCTTCTCCAGTCCATTTCCACGGCCCTCCCATTTTAGCATCTTTGAACTCTCCACACGTTCTTTACTTTTCCTCCTCAGAGGAGCATTGTTTTCTCCACCATAGTTCTGCTGCTGTTTCCTAGACAGTCTCACTCTTTCCTCTTACTCTACCCTACAGTACTTAATCAAACTAATTTTCCTAAACCATTGTTCCTTTTATGTCACTTGTTCTGTTCAAGAATGGTTGTCTGTTGCCCATAAGATGAAATTTAAATCCCTTTGCCTGGTTTTCAGTATCTCCTCTAACCTTTCCCCCATTCTATTTATCTCCAATATGTGTTTTTTTCCACGCCACTAAGTGATGCTCTGACACCAGCTGTGTCCCCCACATTTCACCTCAATCCTTACACTCTACCTGGAGATAGGGTCAGATCCCACAGATTGTTACCTGTACTTTGACCAACTGGCTTTAACTGGAGGCTCCCATGACCCCCTTCTCAGATTTGATTAATTTGCTAGAACAGCTCATAGAACTCAGGAAACCAGTTTACTTACTAGATTACTGGTTTATTACAAAGGACATTATTGGATACAAATGAACAGCCAGAAGAGATACAGCAAGTGCAGCCAGGACGGGTCCCAAATACCAGGGCTCTGTCCCTGTTGGGTTTGGGGTGCCCCACCCACTTGGCTAGGATACCCAGGGCTTTCCAAAAGTCACCGCATTAACATATCAAAAGACAACTTTATAGCTCTTATCACTTAGGAAATTCTAAGGGTTTTAGGAGTTTTGTGCCAGGAATAGAAGACCAAATGTATATTTCTTATTATAAATCACAGCATGACCTATCCTTTATAATATTCAACTGATTCTAAATTAAGACACCCCTATTTTCATTCTTGGAATTTGTTATGAATGGTAAGAAATACACAATTAACTAATACTATAAAGATGGAGTCAAGTGCCATGAACTAGAAAGGAGCAATGGGTCTTTAGAATAGAGAAACATCAATTAGAGAGATAAGAAAAGTGTTCATTAAGTTGACATTTCAGACGAATCCTGAAGGAGGGGGAATATTGAGGGTTTCTGCAAGTG